TTAAATTGTCGAATTTAAGTGGAGGGATTCAAAAGAATTCGGAGAAACGCTGGGACAAAATTAACGAAAGAAAAAGTAAAAAAAAAAAAACCAGTTAACGAAATATTATTATTAAAAATGTAGTTATTTGATTTCTACATTCCTAAAAATAAATGTTTTTTCGCGTTTTCGGAGTTTATCACGTGATATTTATTTTGAACCAAAGTATAAAGTCCCGAAAATCTTGCATTCTTTCATCGAGAAAAATGACAACTGCTGCAAGACCAACTTTCGATCCTGCCCGTGGATATGACAGCAAAGCCCCTTCTTTACAATACAGCTCTCGGGACCTTGCTGCACACACGAAACTCAAATACAGACAACCTGGACAACTTACACAGGAAGAAATTGACAGTATCGATCTTAGGGAGGAGCTCTTGAAAGCCGAACAAGAGCACTTTGAAAAAAGACAAGGTGATACAAATGCTGTCGATCAACAAGAGGATCGACGTCGCTTACTGCTAGAAGCGTCAGCTCTAGACAAAGACGACAGCGATGACGATGACAGTGAAGAAGAAAGTGAAAGGTAACTGAGTAAAGTTGAAATTTATGGTTCTGTAAGAAAAACATGATATGATATACTTATTTGATATATACAGCGAGGAAGAGGAAGAAGAGGACGATGATACTGCTGCACTAATAGCTGAGTTGGAAAAGATTAAAAAGGAACGTGCTGAAGAAAAAGCTCGACAGGTAAGTTAAAAAACTTGTACTTTAATTCTAAAATACATCACGAGAATTCTCATCAAAACCCACTCTTGTGAAGGAATTGGAAAAATTAGAAGCAGAGGAACAACAAAAACAGGAAGCGGCGTTGACCGGAAATCCGATATTGAATAAGGACTTTAGTGTAAAGAGAAGGTAGTTAATTTTTGTATAGTTGTCATATTAATCTTATAGGTTTGCTGATTCCCATCTTCAATAGATGGGATGACGATGTGATTTTTAAGAATCAAGCCCGAGGTGTTGACGATAAGCCCAAAAAGCGATTTATCAATGACACTCTACGCAGCGATTTTCACCGAAAATTCATGAACAAATATGTGAAATGAATGATGTTTCTTACACTATTTGAACATCTGGAATGAGGTCAGTTCGCAGATGCTGTTATATCAAAATAGAATAGATATCTTGAATTTAAAATTCAATTTAATAAATATAAACTATCTTTAAGTAGCCCGTATTCACTTTAGGGGGTTAAACGGATTTAGTTCGCCTATACTTATCTCTATAGGTCTTCCTGAAATAAAATCAGAACTTCAACTTTACGCAATATTCCTCGATATAACTAAAATTACAAAGTGAGATTTCTTATTCGAGGTTTTTTTTGAGATAGAAAGTCCAGTCCACATTATCAAAGATGTTAACAGTAAGTGCGCTTTGAGAAGTAAATTCAATTCCAATTGTGGATCGTCTCGGCTTTTTATTCTTTAACGTTTTTTATAACTATAGATTTTGTGAAATACAAATTCCCAAATCAGCAATTAGAGTATTTAAAAGTATTTATAAGCAGATGCTTTATAGTTTTATTAGTCTTGCCTTGGAATACCGTATTTTATTAGTATACAGTAAAATGATCATCACTTTGTATCAAAATTTGTTTTTTATATAGTAATTATATAAACCTATAAAAACAAAAAAAACAGCTTATTCAATGAATTGTCATAAATTAACAATCTTTTATAACTATTGAAGAATTAGTATTTTGTGAGCTTAATAAAGCAATTTTACAAAGTACTAAAATATTATCTGTTACAATTGATAAAATATATATTATATAATAGATACTTATTTAACTGATTTAAGTAAAAATCTAAAAAATTTTATAAGTAGAAAGTTATATTTTATTCATACTTAATACAGTATTTGGATATTAATTTCAATAACACTAGTTAAAAAAAAATTATTTAGCATAATGTCACTTGTGTAATATTCAGAAAAAAATGACATAAATAAATTGACAACTATATAATTTGACTATAAATATTACAAAAATCAATATATTCAAAAAATTCATTAAATAATTTATTAACTTTCATTAAAAATTTGACAACTATTTATCAAAACTATTTATTAAAAGTTCATTTATCATTCATTAAAAATTTGACAATTATTAATCAATAATAAAGTAAAAAAATTGATAAACTTATATACAAATTTTTTTGAATTGATAATATATAATATATAATTTATATTATTATAATTTAATTAATTATATATTATTATTATTATTGTTGGTTTTTTTTTTTTAATTAACAATTATATTAAAATAATTTGTTTTTATTGAGAAATTAAAACAAAATCTATAATAGTTTACAGGTTTTTACAAAATAATTAATTTGTTTTTATATATAAATACTCTAAGTCAGATTTTGAAAATGATATTATACTTCTCTAATATATTGATAATGACCTCTATCTATTAAGATCATTGTCAATAGTTTGTCACTATTGATTGATCTAAAAATCAATGAATTGCTAAATTAAAAAAAAAAAAGAAAAAAATCGATTGGAAGAAGGAAATAATTTAAGATCCACTAAAAAAGTTCAAAAATAAAAACAATCCCTTTTCAAAAGGAATTTATCTAATTGGAATAATATTCTTGCTTTACTTGAATTTCAAAAGAAAAAAATTTTTTACTACCTGCAGTATTGAACAAGTCAATCCAACTAATCTTTTATTTAAGTAAGTACCAGATTGAGGTATCTCAAAGAAAATATTTAGACCTTAGCTTTTTTTTATTAAAGTTTTGTCACCATCTAAGAAACTTAAGTAAAAGACAGGAGTTTATAATCTATATTATCCGTCATATGGTTTTTTGATATCATAAAAATCTTTATTAAGAGACTTGAATTTTTTGAAAGCAAACATTTTTAGAATATTCTTTCCAATTATCAATAATATTATCAAAACATATGAGTGTAATCAATAGAAGTTTATTTATATTTTAGAAATTAATATATTTAATGTCCATCAATTATCTTTGATAAGGATTTGTGCTATTCAAAATTCAAAATCAAATTGAGGTAAACAAAATTTTTAGAAAACTGAGAAGATAGAAACTTTAAAAGAACTAGGATGGTTTAAAAATAAGAAAATAAGTCTTTTAATTACAACAAAATTTTTATAAACCTCTTTCTTCAAAAGTTAAAAAGGCTTTCAAATACTTTACAATTATTTCTTCTTTCTTTGAGAACTTTCTTCTGTAGTTTTTATTTATTTTAAAATAATATTGTACATATAGTATATATAATAAATATATTATATATTATATATAATAACTAACCCATTAACTGAAAAGGATCTATCATAAGAATTGTATGAAGAAAGGTCTCTGATCTGGTTGTACAAATTATACCTGACCTAATCTTCCTGAACTGGATAGAAAACAAATCCCAGAACCTTACTTTTAGGATTATGGTAATTATCTAAATATATCACTAATTTCAAACTATATCAACAGACTCTGGAACCCTATTTTTAGGACTATAGTGATCATCTAAACATTTCTAATCCCAAACTGTACCAATAAACTCTAGTACCTAACCATCCTAACTTGGAATATTTCAATCCAGTACTTGCTTAAATAAAGAATCTGTTAAATAAAACTAGTTTATAATGTTACAAGTGATGACAAAGAGAATAAAAATTCTCTTCAAAATTCAAGTAAAAGTATTAGAATATCTGGGTGATTAAAATAACTCTTGAGAATTTGATATGAGTATAATAGCTAGTATATTGTATATAATATAGTATTTGAAATTTAACACATAGTTCCAGATTAGCTATATCAATATCACTGTCGATAACTGTATATTAACTATCTGATCTCTAGACTAGTATACCTTCTCACTTGAAAGGTTTCAAGTAGATTTATCTAGGACAAGCTACTATAGATTATCATTAATCTGTATATATATATACAAGATAATTGATATCATATTTAAGATTTAATTATCAATAAAGAGCTCACATCTAATACTAGTGGTGGTTTAAAATTAAAAAATAATAATAATAATAATAACTAGTTCATTAAAAGAAATCACAATGCTCTTTTAATTTTTACTAAAATAATGTTATAGAATAATTTAATTATCAGTTCATTGCATATATTCTAATTAATTTTTAGTTTTGAAACTTTAATATGGTCTGTGAATTTTTTTTCCTATCAAGATTTTTTAATGATATATTATAAGTAAGTTTGAACATGACTTTATATATCCCACTAATACAATGACTGATACAATGATTACTCTCTTCAGAACTTTAGTCTTTTTAACTTAACAACTTCTTTATCAGTTGATAAGATTGTTAGAATATCTTTATCAATCCAGTTTCTGTTCTGATTGACTATGAGAACAGCTTCATTTTTCTTCACCTTATTATAGTAATAATAAAATATTAATTATCTATAATATCTATAGACTAGCCTAATCTGATAAAGATTAGTTATATATAATATTATATTATAATAGATCTTTTTATTTTGGGTATTAATAAGATAACCAAAACTGTATCCAATAATAAGCATTAACTTGTCATCCAATAAAATTGTTTCATTATATATAGTATTTTTTACTTGATCTTCAGGTGATATTGAACTTTGGACCTTATAATTGTAACGTGTGAATACTATCATTATATATATATATATATATTTTGAGTATACGTAGCCATTAGTGTTCACAATTTTGATTTGAATCTGATTGATCCATGAATCGGATATGAATCAGATCAGATTAAATTTCAAAATTTTTAATCTAATCAGATTCGGATCGAATCGAATTTTAAATTTACAAAATTATCAAATTCAAATCAGATTTAGATCAAATCCGATCAGATTCAAATCGGATTCAGATTAAACCCAATATAATGCAAATCAGATATGTACCAACCTATCAATTCATATAAATTGTTATATAACTATTTAATTTTATTTAAACAAACTATCTAGGAAATTA